TGAAGGCAGGGAGCTGGCAGAGAAAGCAGTGAGGCAGGGCTGGCGCTGCTGGGGCCCAGCAGGGCTGGGTGGGAGGGAGCCTGGTCACAGGGAGCGCCTTCGGGGGAGTCACTGGGCACTGTCAGGCCAGGCTTGGAAATTCAGAGGAGACAGCACCCCAGGAAATCACAGGGGAGCTAAGGCTCTCTGGGAAGAACAAGTTGAGAAAGAGTTAGGGTCGTGGCTTCCAGAGGGGTACATCCAGTGTGGAGAGGCAGAGCCGGAGGCCACAGTAAGGGCAGAGGGGCCCCCGGTGAGCCCTGGGCTCCACCTCACCTCACCCTGGGCCCCCTGAGCCTCAGACGCCCTTCTCCAAGAGACTGCTGCCTCCACAGGCCCCCACGGAAAGCCCAGAGAAGGCCGGCTTTCTCAGAGGCCACGCTCTGGAAGCGGGAGGAAGGCGCCCAGCCCCGGGCCTCCAGCCCGGACCGCCAGAGGAGGAGAGGGTTGGCAGGGCTGGGCAGTGCGGGCCATCGCCCGGTAAGGAGCAGCCCCACCTTCCAGAAGCAGGGGGCTGAGGATGCTGAGAAAGGCCCCCCAGTAAAGGGACCAGAGCCAGGAACAACATGTTACAGTCAGACCCTGGGCAACTCGGTGAAATCAGAGAAACTGGTCTGCGCCACCCCGACCCCAGGGTGCCATATGCCTCCCAAACATAAGAAAGCAGTGTCCAGGCTCACCTTGCCCTGCTGGAGTGTGTGGGCCCAGTGCCGTGACCCAGGACATCCCTGAAGCCTCCAAACCGATTGATAAGTGTGTTGGAAACCATTCATCTGTGCTCAGCAAGGAGAGGCAGGCGTGGCCCCCACCCTGTGTCGTCCTCTCTTTTCATTACTGTAATACCGTCTTTTTTCTATATGTATGTTTTAAAAATTTAATTAATTTGACTGTGCCTTGTCTTCCTTACAGCACACAGGATCTTCGATCTTCATTGTGGCATGCAGGATTCTTTTTTTTTAATACTTTTATTTATTTACTTATTGACTGTTCTGGGTCTTCGTTGCTGCGTGGGGCTTTTCTCCAGTTGAGGCCAGCGGAGGCTACTCTCTAGTTGTGATTCATTGTCGTGGCTTCTCTTCTTGTGGAGCACAGGCTCAAGGCGCCCACAGGCTTCAGTATTTGTGGGGTGTGGGCTCAGTAGTCATGGATCCCAGGCTCTAGAGCACAGGCTCAACCATTGTGGCACCTGGGCTTTATTGCTCCACTGCATGTGGAATCTTTCTGGATCAGGGATCGAACCCGTGTCTCCTGCATTGACAGGTAGATTCTTTACCACTGAACCACCAGAGAAGCCCCAGCATGCAGGATCTTTAGTTGTGGCATGTGAACTCTTAGCTGCAGCATGTGGGATCTTAGTTCCCTGACCAGGGATCGAACCTATGCCCCCTGCATTGGGAGCATGCGCCTCAACCCACTGGACCGCCTGGGAAGACTGATTTTCTTTAGTTTTTATTTACTCACAATTATACATGGGATTATATATATACACCAATACCTCTATTCATCCTCCTTGTCATGAGTTTAAACTAGCAGATATATTTCTACATTTCTCTTTTCTTACTCGTCCACATCTGGAAACCCCAGGCAGGTCTAACTCACCATTTTTAACAGCCACACAATGGTTCCCCCACTGAAGTCTACCTGGGCTCTTCTGGCTCATGACCATTTTCCAGAGTCTCATCCCAACCCCCAGCACATTAGGGAGTCTAATGATGGAAATTCCGGTCCGAGTGAGAGGAAAGGGCAGAGAGAAGGCAGCATGTGGTGTTTCTAGCTGGGTCTTGCCCATCCCCTTACTGGTGGCCAGCAGTCCTCAGCTCCTAGTGGCGGGAATGCTGACTGTGTTATTGTGAAATCATTTGTATATTGTGAAGTGCTTTGCATGTGATGGAGTGATTTGCATAGGTGGGGAGGGCATCTTAAGAGATCCCAAAGCAGCATCCCGGAGCGTCCTCCTCCCTTCACAAAGTAAGTAACTTGGGGCTTCCACTTCAGAATTCTGGAAGCAGAACAGGAGGGCACCCCAGCAGACCTAAGGGCCTGGTGGATGAGGCACACGGGAGTTTCAGAGGAAAGCCGATCCGCTGTGTAGCTGGGGGCTTAAGAAGGGCAAACGTGGGCGAGTGAGGTGGAATAGGGCAACTGGTGTAGCCCGTGACAGCCCTGTGGAGCCCCCTGTAACGGAGAGTGACACATGACGGATGAAGGACCCACCGCAGGAGTAGAAGAGGGTCAGAGGCTCGGAGACTCTCAACCCGCTCAAAATCTCTACCCAAGGGAGCACCCAAGTGCCCCTTCCTAGTATTATATGGTCCTGGCTGATTCCCCAAGAAGAATGCAAAAGTGGAAATGTCAAACCGGAGTCCCATGGTCCTGCAAGAGAGAGGTGCTCTCACATGCTCTGGGTCCAGGGACACCCAGGTTTGAATCGGGCTTCTGCCATTTGTGCGACCCTGGGGTAACATTCCCCCACCTTAGTGGGACAGACCCGAGGATTCAGTGAAGACAGTACAGCAGAGTGAATGGCACATCGTAGATGTTCTGTTAAAACTGCAGTTATAATCACAGTAATGATGCTACTGTTTGCTGCCTTCGTCTAAAGTGAGGGAAGCACAGTCTCTGCTCCCCAAGGTTTGGAGTTTACCGGGCAGCAACGTCGGGCCACCGTGCATTGGACTCCAAAGGGTTACAAGCCCTGGAGACAAAAGGCTTGAGGTTCCCAGTGAAAAACCAAAGCATAAAAATAATTCGATGAGTAAGAATAAAATTCCCTCTTCTGAGGTTCCCGGGGCTAAGCCCCTCCCTGTGGCAGGCACTTCCCCTTTCCCTGGCTCATGGAGGAGCCAGGCCCGGCTGACTCAGAGCGGGAGCGCGCGGCAGCCGTCCCCCGCCCCGCACACCCGGACCCCGTCCCGGGGCGGCGCCGTCCGGCGGCCGAGCGCGCCCCCGTGCGGCCGCGGCCGGCACCGCTGCCCTAGAGAGGAAGCGGCGGCCGGGCCCCGTGAGCCCAAGTCCCCTGGCCACTCGCGGTCCCTGCGGGGGCCGCTGCCTCCGCCCTCGCGCTGCCAGGCCGAGCCGGGTGCCCACACGGCTCCCACTTCCGCCCGACACTCCCCGCCGCCGACCCGGGTCCGGCCCGAGCGGAAGTGCGCCAGCCTCCTGGGTCCCCCATAGCCTCGAGGCGGAAGCGCGCCCCTGTACCGCCGCTCCCCCCGCGACCCCGCGGCGCGCGGCGCGCCGGGTTCCGGACAGGTCCCGTGTGACGTGGCCGCGCGCTGGGGGCGGCTCCGGGCCCGGGTGGAGGGGGGCGCCGGGCCGGGCCGGGCGGGGCAGAGCCGGGGCGGGGCGCGGTGCCGCAGCTGGATGGCCGGGGCCGCCTGGAGCGCCGCCGCCGCCACCGCCGCACGGTGAGTGACTGCCCGACGCCCGGGGCCCGAGTCCCGGACGGGACGGACTCTGCCTATCCCCTTATCCAGGTCAGACCTGGGCCTCTCGCCCGGGAGCTAAAACTTCCTTGGGCTCTTCTCCTGTCTCCCCACGCGTCGTTCCCCTCTCTCCCGGCTCCGCATCCGTCTTTGGCTCTCCCCCTCTTCACTCTGCCGCTCTTGCTTCCCCCTTCCCTCTTCCTCTCTGACTCTCTCGGTACCCCCCATCTCCTGTTCCACACTTGGGGCCCCCTCACCTTTAACCGTGACCCGCCTCTACCTCCCAAGCCCGGCCTCCTGGCCGCAGTCCCGCCTTTGGTCCCCAGTGGAGCCCAGTGGGTTTCATCAGGGTCCTGTTAAGGCCTGGAGATCCCAGACCCCAGCGTCTCTTCCAGCTGCTTTCCCTCCCTCCCACCGCCATCAGCAGATGAGGAAACTGAGGCAAGAACATCACCGGCTCAAGGTCACAGCCGGCTGGAGGCTGGGCAGACCACATTTAAACCTCATGCCTGAGTTCCCAGGTTGAACTTCCCTCTTGGTTGACTCACATCCAGGTCCTGTGATCTGCCTGCCGGGTGCTCCCTTAACGTGAGGAGGGCTGTCTGTGCCTTCAGCATGCCAGGCAGACTCACCTGACCGGCAAACTCATCTCACCCTCACGACCACGGGAGGGAGGCCATACTGATCTCCCTCAGAGGAGGCGACTAAGGGCTCAGAGAAGGGCTTTAGGGACTTGTCCGCAGTCAGGCGAGGAGGGCTCGGCAGCCCACTCGTCTTCTTGCCTGGAGCATCCCCATGGACAGAGGAGCCTGGCGGGCCACAGTCCACGGGGTCGCAAAGAGTCGACAGGGCTGAGCGACTAAGCACACAGCACTGCAAGCCAAGCAGCTCTAAGCGTGGAGCACAAAGTTAAGGGTGGGTCTTGGATGTGCATCTGGGAGGCTGCTCGTCACTGAAGGAGCCTCTCCAGTCTCATCTCCTGTCTGTCTCCGGGCCCCAGGATATTAGACTCGTTTCCTAGGAAGAAGCCCTGATGGTCTTGACCTAGCCCAGCTGCTTGGCTCCCGCCACCTGCACTTCCTAAACTCATCCCGTCAATCTAGACAGCGCCGCCGGCCGCTGCCCCTGGGGGTGTCCTCACTGGGGCGCATCCTGGCAGCCAAGCTTTCTCCCCTGGCAGCCAGACACCCTGATGGGGCGGGCCTGCCGGTGGCTGAAGGGAATCCAGCCAGCGCCTCACCCTGTCATTAAGGAAAGTTTAGCCTTAGGCGGACGGGCTGACATAAAGTCTGGAAATGGCTCCCAAGGAAAAAAGAAATGTGTGTCCTTGGAAGTGGGGTGTGGAGGAACAAAGCCCCGTTGCTCTGTGCACCCCTCACAGGGGTCCTTGGAGGCCCTGGGGGAGGCGGGCAGGAGGGCGGGCGCCGTGGCTGCCGGGAGCGCGGGGAAGGTCCAGGTGCCATGTTTTCTAAGCAGGTGCACGGCCAAGGGTGGCCGCTCACATAAGCGGCCTTTGTGTGTCTTTCAGCACGTGGCATGCCTGGATGTCCCTGCCCCGGCATGGCGGGACAGAGGCTCCTCTTCCTCGCTGCCCTTACCCTGGAGCTCCTGGGAGGGGCTGGGGGCTCCCAGCAGGCCCTCCGGAGCCGGGGGGCGGCGGCGGCCTGTCGCCTGGACAATAAGGAGAGTGAGTCCTGGGGGGCCCTGCTGAGTGGTGAGAGGCTGGAGACGTGGATCTGCTCCCTCCTGGGCTCGCTCATGGTGGGGCTCAGCGGGGTCTTCCCGCTGCTCGTCATTCCCTTGGAGATGGGGACCACGCTGCGCTCAGAAGGTGGGTGATGGCCCCTCCGGCACCTGGGGGCGGCAGGTGACCGGGGAACCACGCCGCTGCCCTTGCTGGGAGAGCCAGGTCTCTTCCCAGGTGGCAGCGTGTCTGAGATAGAGGGCTGGACCGAGTACAGTTCTTCCCCGCGGTCCAGTGAGCCAGGGTGCGCTGTGCTTATTTGCTCATCCGTTTGTGCACCTGTTTATCCTGAAAGACGAACGTCAGCGAACATTCACTGCGAAGCGAGAGGCAAGGCTGGAAATAGGACGCCAGGCTGCCTGGGGTTCAAAGCTTGGCTCTGCCACTTACCGGTTGGGTGGTACAGGGTGAGTTCCTTAACTTCGCACTGCCTCAAGGTCCCAACCTTAAAAACGGGGAGAATAACAGTTATCGGCTTCATAGATGTTACTGTGACGATTAAATGAACTAATACTGGTAAAGCGCTTGGAAGACTGCCCAGCCACTGAACAGCCTGGGGGATATCGTCCATCCTGGCTTCCAGACCTGGGAGGGGGGTTCTTGAACACAAGTAGACCTGCCTCTCCTGAGTGCCCCCTTGTACCACATTTAGCGAGTGAGTTTGGGTTTGGGATCTTACTGAGACGTGGGGTGCTGGTACTGGTGGGGCAGGTGGGATGATGCAGGAGAAGATGGTTGCTACTCAGACTGTCTTGATGTTAAACCTCTGGGGTGATACACGAAACACTGTACACAGACCTGATGAGCAGCGGGACTAGGCATTGCCTCTGGCCAGAGTTTCCTTGCTGTTTCAACCACGCTTAGGCATGGAGTGTGCAGGCTCACGTCCCGGGCTCCAGCAGCAGTGAGGCTGGCTTCATGTGGCAGGTGGTGCCACGGTGACCCCTCCAAGGGTGGGGTGGTGGGCCCAAGGTGGGCCATGGAGCACTCCACATCAATTAACCTGTTAACGTGGGAAAAAAAGAAGACTGCCCAGCACTGGGAACGGGCTCCATGTGCACCAGCCAGTGCCTCGTACAAAGCGCCGCCTCTCACTTCGGCACCGTTCAGCGTGCAAAAGGGTGCTCAGACCCAGAGCCCCCAGGGTGGCCTTCCCTGGAACACGGAGAGGCCGGCAGCCCGCCTCCTCTGGGGAGGGCACCTGAGAGATGGGCGCAGGTGTGGCAGAGGGCTTTCCTTGGCTTCCCCTTCCTACGGTGTGCACGTGTCCACAGTGACATTCTGTGATGAAAGATAAACAGGGTCAGATGGGGAGCCCTAAAGATGCAGGCGCCTGTCGCCCCTAGCCAGGACAACGACACAGAAGTTCTGGACCAGCCCTGGGAAGCTTTGAAGCGAGGGTCCCTCAGGGACTTGTGCTGCCTGCCAGGCTTAGGAATTGTTCATTCAGCAGACGGTGAGGCACGCAGCCATGCCGGACACTGGGCTGAGGGCTGGCACCGCAGCTGTGAACACAGCCCTCTTCAGGCCCGGAGCTCCTTCCCCTCTCATAGCATCCCTGCAGGGTCAGCCTAGGGAGGACTTGGATTGTTAGCTCCACTTTACAAACGGGGAAGGAGGCACAGGCACTCTCTGTGCACAGGCACAGAGAAGTTCTTCGAGGAGCCCAAGGTTGCACAGCCTGGAAGCAGTAGCTACCCTGGGATCATACCCCCCCACCCCCGCCACCAAGTCACCTTTTCCCTCTGGGCCTCAGTTTGTCTATTGAACCAAGGGTTTCAAGATGGCCCCCTTAAGGCACTTCCAACTCTGGATATTCTAAGTCTGCACAAGTTGTCAGATCTCTGCCACTTTGCTGAGAGTACCAGTGGCTGAGAAGAGAAAAACTCCTCTTCAATAAGCATTTCCTGTACATGTTGTCATTTAATTTCCTCAAGATCAGTCACTGTCAGGTAGATACAATTGTCCCTACTTTACAGATGATGAAACTGAGTCCTGGAAGTAATCTGCCCAGACTTACCAGCTGCTGGCTTTGGGAGCCAGGACCTGTCCGGTCTCTTAGCCCTGGAGCAGTAGTGACTCCACGGGCATCCTGGAGGATGCGGTGAATTCTTGCTGAACACCAGCCCCTATTGAGACTGGAGGCTGGGGGGCCCGGGAAGGCCAGCAGCCCACATGCAGCCTTCCAGAGACCTGCAGTCTGGTTGAGATCACACTAGGAGCCCAGTAAGCTGGGTGGGGAAGGGGTCAGGCCAGGGACTCAGGCCTCGGTTCCTAGTCCCATATTTCTGCTTTGTAGCTGGGGCACGGCGCCTGAAACAGCTGCTCAGCTTTGCCTTGGGGGGACTTCTGGGCAACGTGTTTCTCCACCTGCTCCCCGAGGCGTGGGCCTACACGAACAGTGCCAGCTCTGGTGAGTGAGGCCACAGCCTGGGGGGCCAGGAGGGTGGTGGGCAGTGGGTGGGAGCTGGTGCCCAGGCCTGCAGAATGACTGGGAGGGGGGTTCCTGGACATGTCATGGTCCCAGTGCCCCGGTTCCAATGGGGGGTCCCCACCTCCAATCTGTGCCCTGGCCGGGCCTGGCTTGTCAGTGCTGCCCCCTGCAGGTGGTGAGGGGCAGAGCTTGCAGCAGCAACAGCAGCTGGGACTGTGGGTCATTGCTGGCTTCCTGACCTTCCTGGTGTTGGAGAAGTTGTTCTTGGACAGCAAGGGGAAGGAGGAGACCAACCAGGTGAGCCCCAAACCCCAGAGCCTACACAGGTCAGCCTTCGTTCTGTGGTGGTGCCAGGGCCTGGAGGCCTAGGTTTTGAGTCAGTTCAGTTCAGTTCAGTTCCTCGGTCGGGTCTGACTCTTCGCGACCCCATGGACTGCAGCATGCCAGGCCTCCCTGTCCATCACCAACTCCCGGAGTTTACTCAAACCCATGTCCATTGAGTCAGTGATGCTATCCAGCCATCTCATCCTCTGTCATCATCCCCTTCTCCTCCCACCCTCAGTCTTTCCCAGCATCAGGGTCTTTTCCAGTGAGTTAGTTCTTCACATCAGGTGGCCAAAGTATTGCAGTTTCAGCTTCAGCAACAGCCCTTCCATTGAATATTCAGGTTTTGAGTCAAGGCCTAGAAAAGAGGGTCTCTTGGCCCTTTCCTGGGAGCTCTGGGAGGCTGGGCCAGCTTGTCTGGAAGGATCCGGGCCCCAGCCCCTGCCGTGACTGGTCCCCGTAGATGCCGGTGACAGCAGTGTGGGAGGCAGAGGGCCTGTTGAGTCTGGGGTCACCCAGCTGGTGGGGCAGCGCAGTCCAGCCAGATGAAAGGGGTGTCCCCTGACTCCTCCATCTCTCACTCCCTTTGTTTACCCTGGCCGAGTGGGGGGCATCTAATGTCACCTCTCCCCCCTTCTCCTGGCCCTAGGCCCCCAGCAAAGACCCCGCAGTTGCTGCCGCGCTCAATGGAGGCCACTATCTGGCCCAGCCGGCTGCAGAGCCCGGCCTGAGCGCCGTGGTCCGGAACATCAAAGTGAGTGGCCCGCTCGGGGCCCCCCGTCCCACAGCCGCCCCGGCTCAGGCCCGCCTGCCTGGCTCAGCCCAACCCTGTCCCTCCTTACCCAGGTCAGCGGCTACCTCAACCTGCTGGCCAACACCATAGACAACTTCACCCACGGGCTGGCCGTGGCCGCCAGCTTCCTTGTGAGCAAGAAGGTGAGTGAGGCTGGGGCGGGGGTAGGCCATCGCGATGGGCGTGCAGGGCCCGCGTTGACCAGGCGGCCCTGCCTCCAGAGGCGGCCTGCAGTCCGTCTCCGCCACGCTCCCTGCACCCGGCACCTTATCCCAGCCGTCCTCGTTGGGACCACGGGCCTCAGCCAAGATGCTAGACTCGGCCCCTGCCTGCTTCCTGATGCTTCTCCCCACTCGGCTGCCTCTGCCCTCTGTGCTTGGCCCCGAGTGCTGTCTGCCCTTGAACTGGCCCACCTCGCCCCCACCTGTGGCTTCCTCCTCCCTGCTGCCTCTGCTTGGAGTGTTCTTTCTCCTGCTCTCATCCTCAGGCCTCCGTTCCAAAAGCAATTCTCAAAGAGGCCTCTGCTGACCCCTCATCTCAGTCAGCCCCCCCCGTGTCCCATGGCACGCAGTCCCTCCGGTCCCCGTGGCCCCTGTCACGGTGTGTAGTCACACGGCTCCAGTGTTTACGCAGTCCTTGCCTCTCCACCCAGGATGGTTAGCTTCTTGAGGGCGGGTTCCTGGTCTGTTCTAGTCGCTGCTGTATTTTTAGTAGCCAAATGGTGTCCAGCCAGGGACCCAGAGCAGACACTGGTAGGATGAGCGGGCAGGTGGGTGCCCTCAACACAGACCCCCCCCACACACACACTCCCTGCAGATCGGGCTCCTGACCACCATGGCCATCCTCCTGCATGAGATTCCCCATGAGGTGAGTGCCACAGGCTCGCCGTGATCAGCCGGCGTGCAGCTGGTGGGGGGTACTTTGGGTGGGACTGCCCAGCAATGGGGGCTTGGGGGGCCGCACCAGAGACTTGGGGCTACACACGCTGCAACCACCATTGCAGCCACGCTGCAGCCTCCTGAGGACTCGGGGCCCAGCAGAGGGGATGTGGGCCTGGGGTCCCAGCGATGGGGCTGCTGCTGGGGGCTCAGTGGACCTGTGCACACCTGAGATGCTCAGGGCGTCTGGCCCCACCGGGGCCCAGAGTGATCGTCTGGACCTCCCCTCAGGTGGGCGACTTTGCCATCTTGCTCCGGGCCGGCTTTGACCGATGGAGCGCAGCCAAGCTGCAGCTCTCGACGGCACTGGGGGGCCTGCTGGGCGCCTGCTTTGCCATCTGCGCGCAGTCCCCCAAGGGAGTAGGTACGGGCGTGGGGGGTGGTGGCGGTCCGCAGAGGGGCCCTGGCCGAAGGGCACAGCCGCCCTGACCCGGGTATCCAAGCCCGGCTCTGCCCTGGTCCGCCCCACAGCGGGGAGCGGGGGGCGGCGGTCGGTACACGTGGCCGCCTGGCGCCCCCAGCCAGTCAGGGCTCCTCCCCCTGCTGCAGAGGAGACGGTGGCCTGGATCCTGCCCTTCACCTCAGGCGGCTTTCTCTACATCGCCCTGGTGAATGTGCTGCCCGACCTCCTGGAGGAAGACGACCCGTGGTGAGCTGCCCGCCGGCCCTGCCATTGGCAGGCCCCCGCCCGCTGCCCGCCGGCCCGCGCAGCCCCCTGAGCCCCGGCCCTCTCCCCCCGCAGGCGCTCCCTGCAGCAGGTGCTTCTGCTCTGCACGGGCATCGTGGTGATGGTGCTGTTCTCGGTCTTCGTGGAGTGACTGCCCCCGGCGCCCCTCCCCTGCACAGCAATAAGAGACTCGGATTCACTCTGTGACCGTGTGTGTGAGTGTGCATGTGTGTCAGAGAGCGAGTGCGCCTCCAACCCAAGAGGGTGGGAGGGGTGTGTGTGTGGTGTGCACGTGACCAGAGGTGTGTGCGAGGCCGACACTGTGATCCCTGACGCCCGGGCCCACCCACTGCGGTCTCCTCCCCCTGCCACCCTGTGGTCATGCATCCCCGGAGTCAGCAGTGAGGCACGGGAGCGCTGGTCCTGAGCAGAGGCCTCTGTGCACGCCGCCGGGAGGAGTGAGCTGCCAAAGGAGCCAGGCCTGCAGCAAGCCCCAAAGCTGTTCCCCCCGGGGCCTCGGGGGGGCCCTGGCCTGAGGGGTAAGCCCCTGGGCGTGTGCACCCAGCCCTGAGCAGCCAGGGACCAAGGCTGGGGCACCTTTTCTCGGCCAGCGTCCTGGTCCTTCCTTCACCAGCTCCAAGGCCAAAGAGAGGCGGGTGCCTCGCCCCTGGCTCCACTCAGCGCTGACAGTCCTACTGCGCCCAGCGTGGAGCTGGGAAATGCTTTCTAAGACCTGTTCCCCATCAGCCCTGGGCCGGCTCCTGTTCCCCCCCTCCGCAGTGAACGCTTCCTGGCAGCACCGGCAGCTCTTGCCACCTCCAGCTGCCAAACGGCAGCCAGCAGGGCAGCGCACGGCCCCGGGCCAGCATCCTCCCCATCCGCTCAGGAGCTCCTGCCAGCCCGGGGTCCAGCAGACACGCTGCGGGCCCCCTTGCCCGGCCCGCCGCTGGTGGGGCTGGGTGGGGGTGGCGAGGGCTCCACGTTGTCAGCGCTCAGGAATGTGCTCTGGGAGAATGCTGAAGCCATAATCCCCAGCTATTTCCCTTGGCCGACGCCCAGGTACTCAGCTGGCCCGCTCCACAGCCAGGCTCCAGCCCCGCTGCTCCGCTCGGCCGTGGGCGTTGGGAGGAGTCGCGTCAGGAGGGGCTGAGGGTTTTACAGCAGTTTTGCTGTGGTTTCATTTATATCTGTAAATAACCTGTTGTATAGACGAGATGCAAATAAATACGAACTGGCTGCCTGTGTTCTGCACACGAGAGCTGGGCACCCCATGTCCCCACCGGGGTGGCTGCTCTGCGTGCCCCGGCTCCTGCAGGCTGTCCAGCCTGTCATCCCCGCCTTCCAGCCCTTCTGCTGTCTCTGCACTCTTAGACTTTTGAGTTGCTTCTCAGAACAGGGTATGTACATTCCACATTTCCCTGGTTTGTTCTGTTGTTAGCTTTTTATGCAATAAAAGCCTGGTTCTAGGTCATTATAGCCCACATCACCCCCAAGGCTGGTGTCTTCAGACCTACAGACCAGGGGATTTTTCCCAGCCTGGCCTGAGTAACGTCACCACAGAAGGGAGCTCCACCCACAGTGTCGTCTCCAGGTTTGGCCTCCATGAAATTATTTTTCGTTAAAAAGGAAAAAAGACTTTTATTCTAAACCACACCCTCCTCTCCAGTGAACACACTGAGGGTAAAGCCGGCATCAGGCATGGGAGGGAGCTGCTTCCTGGGAGAAGGGGGATGGGGAGCCCTGCTTCCTCTCCCACCTTTGGCAGGCTGGGGAGGCGGGGGAACGCGTCTGCACTGCATCGCGGGGTCTGGTTCAGGGTGTGAAACCCAGGTCAGCTGGCTCCTTGCCGGGGAGGGCCTGGCTCTGACTAGCTATCCTCAGTGAAAAGGGACCTGCTCTACCTGGTTGTGACAGCCGGGGCCTGGTGGGCCCAGGCCTGGCGGAACGGAGGAACCCAGGGCTGTCCCCCAGCCCCCGCCACCCCCCAGGAGGCACGGGGCAGCAGTGCACTCGCAGTTGCGCTCAGCCCGCCGTGGGAGGCAGCCAGGTCCCGTTTACAGCTGGGGCTCCGAGGTCAGGGGTGGGGCCGGCAGTCAGCAGCAGTTCTGGGATCCTGGGCAAGGCCCCTCCGAGGGGATGGGAAAACAAGGGTAAGGGGCTCTCGCCAGGGTGCACGTGAGCCGATGGGCATTCTCGAAGGGTTGCTGTTTTAACAGGCCGTTTGCGGAGCGGGGAGGGGGACAGTCAAACCTGCTAACGACAACACAGTAGGCTTCATGCTCAGTCCTGGGTTTGAATCCTGGCTGTGCCATCTAACAGTTGTGTGGTCTTGGCCCAGCTGCTCAGATGCATCCATAAAACAGGGCTGCCCTACTGGTGGCTGAGATTAACTAGATACAATTACACAGAAGCCCCACAAAGCACGTGGCCCAGGGTGAGCCCTCAGCCAGCGGTGAACCACCCGGTCGGCTCTCAGGCGGCAGAGCTGCAAGGGTGGCGGGCAGAGAGGACCAGCAAGATGGTAAAGGGGTCTGACCGGACGTGGGGCATCACAAGGATGGGGCTGGGGCAGGACCAGGGGTGGGAGGGGACACAGCATGACCAGGGTTAGGCCTAGAAGGGCTCTCAGTGGATCTTGCTTGAAGCTCCTTTTTCAGCCGGAGGAAGTGGGCCAACAGCGAACAGGGACGTGGAGAAAAACAGAAGGCTTGGCAGCCAGGACCCATGGAGCCAAGGCCCAGAGCCTGGCTTTACCAGGAAGCAGGGTCGAGGGCCAGAACGCCAAAATTCAAAAGGAAGGGCAACACTAGTTTGGGTTCTGTGTAGGCCCCTCGGGAGAGCTGCAGGTTAAGGAGAATTTTCAGAAGCTCAGACTGAGAGGTGGGGTGGAGAGTGTGCAGTCAGAGGGGTCTGGAGGCCAGAAGACCCCAGGGAACAGCTGGGTACATACCCATCCCTGCCAGGGGGCCTCGCCCTGACAACTGGTCTGAGGCCCATGGCTCGCTCGGGTTTCCAGCAGCAGCACCGGGGCAAGGGCCTCTGGCATACACCCCAACTCCTCCACCCAAGGCCCGGGGAAGGCGAGACAGACCGGCGGCAGGGACCGGAAACCATCCTTTATTGCAAGTGTTCCCCGGAGGAGGCTCCCTAGGCATAGTATTGCAGATTGGCCTTCTTCTTGGCCTGGACCTCCAGGATGCCCTCCATGTAGTCCTCATGTGTGAGCTCCGTGGCACCTCTGCGCAGCGCGATCATGCCCTGTGCCCAGACAGACAGGCTCTCGGGTGCCTCCCCACACCCCAGCCCCCAGGACAGACAGACAGGCTCTCGGGTCCCTCCCCACGCCCCAGCCCCCAGGACGGACAGACAGGCTCTCGGGTCCCTCCCCACGCCCCAGCCCCCAGGACAGACAGACAGGCTCTCGGGTCCCTCCCCACGCCCCAGCCCCCAGGACGGACAGACAGGCTCTCGGGTCCCTCCCCACGCCCCAGCCCAGCTCCCGGAGGCCTCCACCTTCTCAGCCCCTCCCCTGACCACCTCCACCAGCCTGAGCAGGGCGGTGGCATGAAGTGCCCACACTCACCGCCTCCACACACACTGCCTTGCACTGGGCCCCGTTGAAGTCATCCGTACAGCGGGCCAGCTCCTCATAGTTCACGTCAGGACTGTGGGGAGGTAGGGGGAGACTCTGTGACTTTCGGGGAGGGGGCAGGAAGAGCATCTGTCCCCGACACACTCCCTCAGGCAGTGAGGTCGACTTGCCCGGATCACAGGTGAGTCCCGTCCCCACCATGCCTCTTCCCTCCGATGCACAGGGCAGGGAGCGGTCAGAGTAGGTTAGACCAAGTTATTTCTAGTGTCTCCAGCCTTCAAGATGCACCTGGACTCCGGGACACGGCCCGGGGAGGAGGTTGTGCAGACAGAAGACAGTGATCTGTCTGTCTCAGGCGGCATGGGCCCTGACCCAGCACAGCCCTGCGCTGACTCCCCTCCTGCGCTGAGTGCTGCACCAGACTTGGTCATAGCCCCGTGAGGTTGGAGCACTCACCCCCAAGTCCCAGGAAAGAAACCCAGGCTTATGCCACCTGCGCATGGTCACACAGATCTGAACCCAGGTCTGCCTGGCCCCTGGCAGGGTTCCCCTGGGCCAGGCTGGGCTGTGTTCACCTGCTGGGGCAGGGGAGGCCAGGAACTGGCCCAGGCCGGCACACCTTGCAGTCCCGGGCGAGGGGGTGTGTGCAGGGGAACTCTGAGGATCCCGGGCCCCAGTAAGGTTCTGCATCAGGTCAGGTGCCTGGGAGAAACAGAGACCGCTGCAGGGACAGCGCCGTATGAACGGGAGGTGGAGGGAGAGGGGAAGCCCAGGGAAGTTCAGTCCTAAGAGTACGTCTCAGCGCCTCGCGTGTGATTTGACCCACCTGACGTTCATCTTCCGGGAGTGGATCTGCATGATTCTGGCCCGGGCCTCCTCGTTGGGCATGGGGAACTCGATCTTGCGGTCCAGCCGGCCGGAGCGGAGCAGGGCGGGATCCAGGATGTCCACCCTGTTGGTGGCTGCGATGACCTGAGGAGGAGACGCGGCCGCTTGAAGGAGGAGGCAGCAGGCACGACCACGACAGGCAAGGAGGCAGCCCAGCTCAGGGGAGACGGCACAGGATGTTCAAGACCGCCTCTAATTCTAACTCGAGCTGCGCCACTGAGACAACAGAAGATCCCCTGACCTCTCAGCCCCACTTCTTCCCCTGTGAAGTGATGCCAACGCTCACCTTCACTTGGGTGTTGGGCTGGAAGCCGTCCAGCTGGTTCAGCAGCTCCAGCATGGTCCTCTGCACCTCCCGGTCCCCGGCCTTCTCACTGTCAAAGCTGGGCCCCGAAGGAGACACTGGTGAGACCACAGCTCGGGGGGGGCCCTCCCCTGCTCCACCAACAGAAGCCCAACCCAACCCATCCTGGGGCAGAGAGAAGTCTCGCCCAGCCCAGGGACCAGCACAGAAATGGTGTCAGAGATGAGAGGCTTCTGGGCTCAGGTGCCAAAGTGAGGACAAAACAGTGAGCAAAACCCACTGGCTGGCCTGCGCCCCTAATGAAGGTGCCATCACAAACTGAGCTAAAACTCAGAAGAAATACAGAGATCTGGCCCAGACTTGGCAT